ACTTTGTCTTGCTGGCTCTCTCTGGTATACTTAAAAATAATAACAAATAAAATAATTCTTGGGAAAAAAAAAGGAAAATTAAGTACTAAAATATAACAGCCCAAATTTTATCCCAAATTGATGGAATGGACTTCTATGAAATTTTAATTGAAAACAAGTATTTCAAACATATGTCCTATCATTATTTTCCTGATTAAATAAGGCTTGCACTCCCATGGAACTGAGTCAAAACATAAAGCTTTGGCTGACACATGCCATAAACCAGTTATTATTTTTTAGAAAAACTGTGACGGGACCAGCAGATGGCATAATGGTCATATCGCTGGACTCCCACATGGCCAACCAGAGTTCGAATCCTGGACCTAGCGGCTTGAAACTCACAGTGGGTGCATGTGTACACATGCTCAATCGCCCTCTAGCAAAAAATCTCTCCAAATAAATAAATAAAAGATTATGACAATAAAGCTGTTATTATCTAAGAAATATAAATTTCTAAGAAATATAAATTATCTAAAGAAAAATAAATTTATTTCCCATCCATCAGAGTATTAGAAGAATAAGGGACCAACAAATGGCATAATGATTACATTGCTGAATTCCCACATGGCCAACCACGGTTTGAGTCCCGGACCTGGATTCTTGAAACTCTTGCTGGGTGCCTGTGCATGTGCGTATGTGCCCAAAATCACAAGAGGAAAGGAGTTTGTAACATGGCCATTCCCTCTGGGAGGTGATTTCTCACTTTCTGTCTGTCTTTCTCTGCCTCGCTGGCAAGCATACACACCCTATAGCAAAAAAAAATTCTCTCTCTAAAAAAAAAAAAGAAGAAAAGGAAAGGTTAAGTTAAAAATAAAACGTGTTCTCTAGAGTAATAAAATTCATTGAAATAGAAAGTAGAATGAATGCGTGGTTGCCAAGGGCTGGGGGAGGAGGGTGGGGAGTTAATGTTTAATGGGCACAGAGTTTCAGTTTTGCAAGATTTGAAAAGAGTTCTATATATCTGTTTGCACAACAATGTCAATGTACTTCATACTACTGAACTTTATAAAAATGGTTAACACTGTAAAATTATATTATGGTATTTTACCAAGAGTTTTATAAAAGGATCCCTCGAAATACTCTTTCCAAGTCAAAATTTCCAATGTGCAGTAATAGATTTTCAAAATTAAACCTTGTATGCTATCGGGTCATTGGAAAAGTCATGTCTTTTTCTATGTTTTGCTATGCAAAAATGCATCATGACTTTTCCAATGACACAATATTTGCGTTCTCACCATTTGGCTTCTTTTTTCATTTAGAAGGGATTATATTCTACTTTAAAAAAAAAAAAAACGCCAAAAGGCATGTGGATTTGTTGGAGAAAGACACAGAATCAGAGAGAGAGAGAGAGACAAAGAAGAATAAGAAGGTACCCTCTTGGGGAATGGGCATGCCAAATCACTTCTCCTCCATCTTTCTCGTCCTTAGGGATTTGCACATGTATGCACACATGCCCAGTGTGTCTCTCCTTTTATTTTTTTTTAAGTTTATTAATTTATTTATTGAGAGAGAAAGAGTGAGAGAACTCCCAACAGGATCTTTCTCTTTTTTTGGAGAAGTTTTTGCTATAGGGTGCGTACATTCTCCAGAAAGACAGAGACAGAGAGACAGAAAGCAAGAAATCACCCCCCGGGGGGGATGACCACACCGCAATCACTTCTCCTCCATTCTCCTCTCGGGATCTTGGGCATGCATGCACACGCACCCGGCGTGAGTTTAAGCCACCGGGTCCGGGACGTGAACTGCAGTCGACTACATGGGAGTCCAGTGACATAGCCATTACGCTAACTGCTGGTACCCCCAGTGTATCTCTCAAGCTGCTGGGTCTGGAACTCAGACTGTGTGGTGAGCCATGTGAGATCCAGCTCCCTTAACTACCATGCCTCCAGCTGGCCCAGGGATTATATTTGACTAACATTTTGTTTATAAGCTTTGTTTTTCAGTGACTGCAAATTATTGAGTAGTTGAAATAGCCATGACATATTTTGCATAGAAAAAAATTAAAGCTTCCAAAATAAAATGAAAGGAAAAATATTTAAAATCAGATGGGTTGCAAATACCTCAAATTCTCTAACAACGGCAGCAAAACCTGGGTTCTTCTTGCACTGCTCATCCAGGAGCGCTATGTTCTTGTCAAATTCTTTGATGTACGTGGAGTACATTTTTAGATACGGCCCCTTCTTTACAAAGATATCAGCAATTCTTTGTTGTTCAGTCCTAACGACAGAGAAGAGATAGACAAAAATATTTACCATTTCTTTTTTTAAAATTAATGTATTCATTCGTTTCTATTTGACCAGAGAGAGGGAGAGAGAGAGAAAGCAAGCCGCCAGGTCCAGGACTTGAACCGCGGTCTGCCATGTGGGAGTCCAGCACCCTTAATCACCATGCCATCGGCTGGCCCCAAGACAGACAAAAATAGAAAGAGTGATTACTGGAGCTAAAACACATCCAAGAATGAGCAGAGTCCCACAACATTCCAGCCATCAGTTCATCTTTTGCTCTCTTCATAAAACATAGCCCCAAATGCTGCCCTTCTGTTGCCATCATCACATCTCGTGCCAACTTTGCCCGCTCTCGGATTGGTTTCCCTGTTTCTGGCCTTGCCTCCTCCATCTCATTCTTCAATGCAAAGAGTCTAAAATCTTGTATCGTGTAACTTCCATTGGCCTTGCATTGTCCTTAGGATAAAAACAAACTCCTGGAGCCAGCGGTGGTACAGCAGTAAAACGTGACCCTTTGAAGCTGACACACAGGGGCAGGATTCCGGGTTCACATGCAGTGACCTCCCTAAGAACATGGGGCACATACATGCCCATTCAGGATCCTTGGCCATCTGAAGCTGGTGGCTGATCGTGGCATCAGGATGCTGGTGGGAATGCTATTTCTCTGTCTATCTCAAGAAGAAACAAGCAAACTTCAAACTAGACAAAGGCCAGCTCTGAAACCTAGTGGTTAAAGGACGCCAGATGCCACGTGACTGCAACCAGGAACCCTGGCTACCTCTTCCTTTTCATCCAGATGTCACCTGACATGGTCCACCTTCCTAGAGGGCCTTCCCTGGACACCCAAACTTCATTTGCTCCCACAACATCCTATTTTAAGTTTGTGCAGGTCAGAAACAATTTCCGGTCGTTTTGTCCTACTCATCCAGTCTTTCACTAAAATGCCTGCTTCCTGAGAGCAAGAACCTGTCTTGTCTGCCTTATGCTGTGAAACCTCTGCATACCCGGAGTGCTCTCCAGCACAGGAGACACACCAGACCTGGTTGAATGTGAAAAGAAATTTCATCAATTGTTCCAAAAGTCAACGGAAAAAAAAGCTATTTCAGAATATCTACTAAAACCAGAGTGTGCTATAATGAAAGACCCCAGAAATGTAAAAAAAAATGTGTTTTTGGTTTTTTTGTGGTTTTTTTTTGTAGAGGTTTTTGCCTTAGGGCACAGGGTGCATGTGCTCGCGCCAGGGGAGGAAGTGAGAAATCCCCCAGGAGGAATGGCCACTCTGCAATCCCTTCTCCTCTTAGGACCTTGGGCACATACACACATGTGCCTGGCTTGAGTTTCGAGCCACCGTGACCTGTGGTTGGCCATTTGGGAGTCCAGTGACCTAAACATTATGCTATCTGCTGGCTCCAGAAAGAAAAATATTTTGGGTGGTGGTTAAGGTGCTAGACACTCCTACACGGCCAACCACAGTTCGAGTCCTGGACCCAGTGGCTTGCTTTCTCTCTCTCTCTCTCTGTCTCTCTCTCTCTCTCTCTCCTTCTGTGTGTGTGTGCTATGTGTGTGTGTGTGTGTCTGGTCAAATAAAAAATGAATGAATGAATGAATAAAGAACTCTTTAAAAACAAACAATAAAAGAAAAGAATTATTTTTTAGAGATATTTTTGTTATAGGGTATGTGTGTTTGCTGGAGACACAGAGATAAACAGAAAGACAGTAAATGAGAAATCACCCCCTCACCTTCTCCTCCATTCTCCTCTTGAGATTTTGGGCATGCACCCACGCCCACCATGAGTTTTAAGTCACTGGGCCTGGGATTTGAACAGTGGTTGACTATGTGGGAGTCCAGCAATGACCAGTACACCATCTGCTGGTCCCAAGAAAAATATTTTAATAAATAGAAATACCCATTCAAGAATTAGAAGAATTTTATGTCAACAATTTGTGGCACTTTTATTGTAACTGCAATTTTGGTTTTCTGTGTCATAAAATAGTCTGCTTCTTAGGAAGCTAAACATTTTAACACAGGATATCTCCAGATCTAATCGCAAGAAAATGTCTAGGCCAGCTGCGGTGGTACAAAAGTAATGCAACCCGCCATGATGCTGAAGCCACACTAAGAAGGTCCCAGGTTCATGCTTCAAGGTCTTTCTGTACATGCTGGGCATGTGTATGCCCCTGTCTCCTGGCTGGCTGAAGCTGGGGGTGATCACAGCACGAAAGACTCTGTTGGGGAGCTCCCACATCATGGAAGAAAAAGAAAACTTTTCATACAAGAAAGAAGTATATTTTGGGGCCAGCAGATGGCATAGTGGTTACATAGCTAGACTCCCACATGGCTGACCACAGTTCGAGTCCCAGACCCAGTGGCATGAAAATCACACTGGGTATGTGCATGTTTGCCCAAGATCCCAGGAGGAGAAAGAAGGAGAAGGGAGTGAAGCGTGACCATTCCCCTGGGTGGTGATTTCTCATTGTCTCTGTCTCTCTGTCTCTGTCTTTTTCTCTCTCTCTGGTGAGTGCACGCACCCTAAAGCAAAAATCTCTTTAAAGAAAAAAGGTATATTTAGTTCTATAACATTTGCATAAATATGCATATCTTAAGACAATTCAGATGAATTTTTACCAAAAAAAAAATGATGCATGCAGGAATATTATCTGTAATTATGCTTTCTATCTCTCATGACTTTAAAAAACTATTTTTTATTCTTCAGTCCTTAATTGTGTGTTACTTTATACTGAGGCTATGCGTAAGTATTAATTGCTATCTAGCATATTTCCCTAACATGCAGAGGCATGGCGTTTCCCACACAGGCAGAGATATTCAGATATTCTTCTGGGCTATAAACAACCATTTTGATCATGAAAGCAGGTGATACTATTTTGTTATTCTAATCACTTTGTGTTCCCCGTGGACTGCTATAATAAATTCAATCCTCTTAGACCCATCTTTCTGTATTACCAGAGAAGTCACCAAAGGCTTCTGTTTATTTTCTTCAGCCCAAGGGAAATAGTGCTCAATACCAACCTTTCTGTATTCTTTTCCTGTTCTGAAATCTACAGTTCCTACAATAATGTTATACATAAGTAAACCTGGTTTTCCAAAACAAACAGCCTTATTAGCTCAGTGAATGGCCTCTTTCCAAAAATGCAAAGGAAGGTTCATGACCTGTAACCCAGGAGATAGATAAAACACTTAAAAATGTTTCCAATGTGAATATATAAATTAATGTGCCTCAATCTGAAAAAACCTTGATTATCAAAGGTCACCTATCGAAAGTTAAATTAGGAGGTCCAGCAGGTGGTGTGGTGGTCAAAATGCTGGACACTTCCACATGGCTGACTACTGTTCCAGTTTCAGACCTGGTAGGTTGCTTTTTTACTTTCTCTCTCTCTCTCTCTCTCTCTCTCTGGAAAATTAAAATAAATGAATGAATAAATAAAACTAAATAAATAATTCTTAAAAAATAAAAGAAGGTTAAACTGGCTAACTATGAGCCCTTATTGCCTTGAGGCAGCAATTATGCATTGTGGGACCACGTGGTACAGTGGTGGAGCACCTGGACACATGAGGAAGGTCCTGGGTTCCAGTCCCAGGACCTCCCCAGCATGCTGGACATACATGCCCATGATCTGGACTGGCTGAGATTGGGGGTAGGTTTTACCTGAGAACTCTTGGAAGTATGCCATGTCCCAACATCACTCATAGAAGAAATAAACTAAAAAAAAAATAGTATACTCAACGTGCCCAGGTTATAAATTCTGACGACTCAAAATAACCAACCTATAGGTAACTGTCAGGAACATTCAGTGTAAGAATTTTCACATGCAGGGCCCCTTATGGCTCATCTAAAATTGGAAACTCTAGGAAGGACCAACAGCCCATCCGTGGTTACCAGTTCAACATTCTTTCCTCCAGTTCCTTCAGGAGATCCCGGTTGAGCTCATAGAGCTGAGGCAGGTAGTAGAGAATCTGGTTTAGGATGCGGTCCTCAATCACGGCCTTCCCAAGTTGCCTGGAAGCATGGGCTACTGCATCCCGGAAATCCTATTACAGTCCAGGGAAGAAAACACAACACACACAATATAACTTGATAAGCTTTTCCCCCAGTCACCTCTTAGCTAGAATGATAGACACTGCAAAACTGTATTTCCCCTAAAGAATTACAAGTTAAAAGTACCCACTTCCTCCTCCTCTCCCATACAACTGGATAGGAAATTTTAAAACAAAACAAAACAAAATTACACAGTGGCTTGGGCCAATATTTGATTCTTAAATAGACCCTGTGGGGCCAGCGGGGGGTGGTGTTTAGTTAAAGTGCTGGTTCCCAAATGGCTGACTCCACCGTTCAAGTTCTGGATCAGGCAGCCTAAAACCAGGCACAAGTGGGTATATACCCAAAATCACAAGAGGAGAATGGAGAAGGGACTGCAGCATGGCCATCCTCCTCGGGAGTGATTTCTCACTTCCCCTTTCGCTGTCTCTCTTTCTGGTCAGTGCACATGCCCTATGGCCAACAAACAAACAAACAAACAAAAACAAACAAACAAAATAAACAGACCCTATGATATTATTTGCCTTAAATCATTCGGTTTGGATCTCTGAAGTTAGGAATTATATTGAAGTCTACCTGGAAATTGCATTACAACTCTAAAAAGCGTTTACACTTACTCCAAGACTATCGCATAAACACGATCTAGTCTTATAAGTCTCTAGGAGATCTTAACTAATGTTACTTTGGATTTAAGAGTCCCTTTGTCCACTTTCACTCATCATTTTCTGACACCTGGAGTGTCCTAGATGAAGCATATTGAGAAAGGGACAAGAGTGACAATCAGATCCTGAATTCAAGCCCTTTAATCCTGATTAATTCTGTTTTCTTGGCCTTTTCTCATTTTCCTTATCTGCCAAGTGAGCATAATAATAGTGATGAGAAGTTAATGAGATAGTGCACCTGAAGCTTTTGGCAATCCATTCAGCACCCGGAATCAAGGAAATATTTCATAATTCTGGACCTCACATTTCCCCCAGCTTCTAGTCGACCTCCCAATAAAATTCATCAGAATTTACAGTTTCCACAAATAGCAAAATTTTTCTCCATGTATTATTATTTTTTTTGAGAAGTTTTTGCCATAGAGCACGTGCACTTGCCAGAGAGAGAGAGAGACAGAGAGACAGAAGGCAAGAAATCACCCCCCCAAGGGGGGATGGCCACGCTGCAATCCCTTCTCCTCCTTTCTCCTCTCGGGATCCTGGGCACGCACGCACACGCTCCCGGCGTGAGTTTTAGGCCACCGGGTCCGGGACTTGAACCGTGGTTGACTACATGGGAGTCCAGCGACATAGCCATTATGCTAACTGCTGGTCCCTCCATGCATTATTTTTTATCCCCTGTTCCCTATAACAGTGCGGACCATGATTTAACACAAGTCAATGAGACCCCACCCTCTCACTCAGAGAACTAGGAGAGGGTAGAGCACCAGACTCCTTATCCCCAAGCCTGGGCCTCAAGGTAAAAGTGAAACAGTCTACAGTCCTAAGGATTCAAACACAAAAATTTGCTCCTTTCATAGAAATAGCAATTGAATTATAACCCTAAACAAAAGCTTGGCTAAAATGACTCTACCAAGCTTTCCTTTCCTTTATCTTTATTTCCAATTCCGTTTTCTTCTGGGATTCACAGGCAAATCAAAAGGATGGTGTTTCTTCCTCATCCCTTCAGCACCTGCCCCCAACATACATACACTAATCATGGGTATTTCTTACACTTCTGGACAAAAAAGCCTCTGACATCATTTAAAGTGCACTTGCCAGAGAGAGAGAGAGACAGAGAGACAGAAGGCAAGAAATCACCCCCCCAAGGGGGGATGGCCACGCTGCAATCCCTTCTCCTCCTTTCTCCTCTCGGGATCCTGGGCACGCACGCACACGCTCCCGGCGTGAGTTTTAGGCCACCGGGTCCGGGACTTGAACCGTGGTTGACTACATGGGAGTCCAGCGACATAGCCATTATGCTAACTGCTGGTCCCTCCATGCATTATTTTTTATCCCCTGTTCCCTATAACAGTGCGGACCATGATTTAACACAAGTCAATGAGACCCCACCCTCTCACTCAGAGAACTAGGAGAGGGTAGAGCACCAGACTCCTTATCCCCAAGCCTGGGCCTCAAGGTAAAAGTGAAACAGTCTACAGTCCTAAGGATTCAAACACAAAAATTTGCTCCTTTCATAGAAATAGCAATTGAATTATAACCCTAAACAAAAGCTTGGCTAAAATGACTCTACCAAGCTTTCCTTTCCTTTATCTTTATTTCCAATTCCGTTTTCTTCTGGGATTCACAGGCAAATCAAAAGGATGGTGTTTCTTCCTCATCCCTTCAGCACCTGCCCCCAACATACATACACTAATCATGGGTATTTCTTACACTTCTGGACAAAAAAGCCTCTGACATCATTTAAAAGTCCAAGAAAGGATTCCTTGTCTAAATTACAACTCTTTTAGAAAAGCCAAATACTCCTATGCATAACAAAAACTACAAAGTCCTTTCTCCAGCAGGTGGAATGGTGGTTAAGGCAGCTGACCCCACATAGCTGACTTCGCGGTTTGAGTCCTGGACCATACAGTTTGAAAAACACACCGGGTATGTGTCATATGTGCCCCAAATCCTAAGAGGTGATTGGAGGAGAAAGGATTACAATCAAGCCATCGCCCTGGGAGTTGATTTCTCATTTTCTCTCTCTGTCTCTCTTGGGTGAGCACATGTGCCCCACAGCAAAACATTAAAATAAATAAATAAATAAAAAGTCCTTCCCTTAGGACTCAGTAACTGAGATTAACTTGATTGATCCATTAGTTACCTTAGCCCAAAAGAACAAACAAGTTAATACAGTAATTACAGAACTACCTTGCATAACTAGTTAGCATAATATAAAATAAGAATCTGTAACTCGTATAAGCTCCAATCAGAAAGTCACACAAAACAGCTACAGAAACCAAATGGTTGCTGACCACACTGTACCTCCCAAAAGCCCTCACATTGACTAAAAGGAAACAGCTACCTCACACTTCTGAAAGTTTATTAGACTATTTGCTATCAGGTAGAACTATGAGATACATTTATATATCAGGAACAATTGTAAATGCATTCAAAGCACAACAGTTAAACATTTCCTTTGGTGTTTCTTTTTTTTAAAACCAGTTTAGTGATTAATATAATTTAGATACAAGAGTTCCTTGCTCAGCAAAACAAAAAGCACCACCCTTTCTTGAGGTAGAGTAAATGATGACTGGGCCTGTCCCTTGACAGCAGGATAACTTTTGTCTTCCACTTGGAAAGAACGTCCTTAGAGCCATGCCAGTGTTAGCAGATGTAAGCTGCTAAGTAACCAGAGGGCCAGTTTGACACAGCTTTTGCCAGACTCCATGTTCCATATGTCTGCCACAACTGCCCAAAAGGAACCTTGTTTACTTAAGACACATTTAACTGAGACTAGCCACATCCACACTGGGCTGACCACTGAGATGGCCACTTCTCTTTTTTTGAGAGATAAATTTTTGCTATAGGGTGCCTGTGCTCACTGGAGAGAAGGACAGAAAGCAAGAAATCATGCCCCTTCCCCCCCAAGAGGGAATGGCCTCAACACAATCCCTTTTCCTCCATTATCCTCTTGGGATTTGGGGCATGCACACACGTGCACTTGGCATGAGTGTTAAGCCACTGGGTCTGGGACTCTAACCACAGTCGATTACTTGGGAGTCCATTATGCCATCTACTGGTCCAAGATGGCCACTTCTATATGGAAACCCTTGTCACATACCAAGAAAAATTTTACTTTTCCCAGAACTACTGAATGTATGTATGTAGCTCTGGATAACTGATGGCCCCTGATGTCTTCCTTACAATCATAACTAAACAGACCTTTACTAATTCAAAGAGCAAAAGAACAACACTTAATAAAGACAATAAGAATTCAGAGGATATATGTCTTAAAGACCTAGAAAGTTACATATTCTGACTGAGCACCTGACAGTGATTCTTTGCTTGACCAAACTAGTGAAATTCTTAAACTGTCTCTTAGGTCCATCTGTGCGCTTCCTTATGGTTTTAATAAGAACCCTGCTGGGCTGGCCCCCCTGGCCTAGTGGTTAAGGTAGCTGGATCTCACATGGCCAACTGCAGATCAAATCCTGGCCCTGGTGGCTTGTAAAACATGCTAGGGGTTGTGTGTGTGTGTGTGTGTGTGTGTGTGTGTGTCCCAAATCCCAAGAGATGGAGAAGAAGGGATTGTAGCGTGATTAGTCCCACTGTGGGGTGCTTTCTCCCTCTCCCTTTCTTTATCTCTCTTGGGGTAGTGCACATGCTCTCTGGAAAAAAAAATTTCTGCTAACTCAGTTTAGCAAGAACCCCCTACCAGTGGGTTCCTCATCCTTTACCATTCTTCAGGTGATGTTATTTATCTGATTACTCTGGTCTGTCTTCAGCAAGAATCCTGTGAAGTCTGTTTAGCCAGATCCTCCTTCCCTGTTGGCAATTCTGCATCCACTGAATCTAACTCTGTTCCTTGGTTACACTGGACCATGCTGTTTTCAAGGTTGAGCTCAGTCTCTCTCCTCCTCCGTGAAATCTCTTTGCAGTGGTCCGTACACCTACAGTGACGATCCTGAATGAAGCCTGCCTAACTGTGCTCTAACAAGTGTCACTGAATAACTTTTTCTTTAATACTACCAGGACTGTCACTAGTTTCAAAAATAGAAAAAAAGAAAGGGGGGGTGGGGGGACCAAGGAGTGTTACGGTGGTAAAACATGATGTGATATTCTACAAAGCTGACCCACTGGGAAGGTTCCACCATCATGTCCAGAGATTTCCCTGGGTACTCCAGACACATGCATGCCTGTGATCTGGGGCCGGCTGGAGCTTGGAGTGGACTGTGCCAATGAGATCCTGTTGGGGGTACTGTCTCATTCTCTTAATGGAATAAACAAAACAAAATGAAGGGGAACCAGCAGCTAGCGTAATGGCTATGTCGCTGGACTCCCACGTAGTT